GAGGAAAAACAAATTTTGTTTCTAGCCCTTATGGTTCAAAGTTATTAGCACAAATGTAAGATAAAATTTGGACAGTTAGTGGCGCTAGAGGGATTGAGTTAGAGACTCGGGAATTGCTATGGTTAATGCTCAGACTGTCCCCTATCTGTGTGCAAAATTTCACTACTTTTTACCATATGGTAAATGGACTGCATTTATATAGCGCTTTCACAGACCCAATGGCCACCAATGCGCTTTACATATTGCCTCACATTCACCCATTCACTCACTCATTCATACACCGACGGCAGCCATGCAAGGCGCCATCCAGCTGGTCGGGAGCAGCTGGGGTTAGGTGTCTTGCTCATGGACACCTCGACACTTGGCCAGGTGGAACCGGGGATTGAACCACCAACCTTCCCGTTTGTAGACAACCTACATGAACCACTGAGCCACTGCCCCCCAATATGATCAACAATATGATCAACAATATGATCAACTATTCTACTGTTCTATTGTCTGCCATATACTTCAAGAGTGGTAGAAGAAGAAGAAGAAGACTAATGGATACAATGGGTGCCTACGCTTCTTTGATACTTGGCCCTTAATAAACTATTATTATTGTTGTTATTATCATTAACACATTGATTAATACTGCTTGACCTGAGCAAGCAGCTGTCCCCCTGGCGGCCTGTCAACCATTCGATGTCAATAGGCCTTTGTTCCTCATTCTTAATCCTACCACTCCACACACACTGTGTCCACTTCTCCGGGCATAACTGTGTCCCATATTATGTAAACAACAAAGGGTGAGTGAGGTTGTTTTTGAAAAACTTTTACCACTTGCAGTTTTCCTCTCTGCGGCTGAGTCAACAGAGTTTTGTGCAAGCACATAGAGCTGTATAGGCAACGGAGCTATATGCACATTTCTGATCTTGTACGTGTATGGTTACATTTAGGCTGCTTTATTTATTATTCCATATGGCCCAGTTTTTTTAAAGGGACAGAGAGTGCACAGCATGGAGCGTCTGAATAATGCAAACCTTATCGTCCTCTTAAGTCCAGAGAGAGTGTTGTGCAGTTGTGGAAAGAACAGGAGCTGACAGGCTCATACGAGAGGGAGGGTCATTATGAAATATTCATCTTTCTTAGAGGCTGAGACAGACTTTAGTAGATGTGATGGACAGGTGCGTAGTGACCCAGTCCCTTTCTGTATTTAAGTCTGGATTGTATTGCCTTTTCAAGTGATTGCCCTTGCTGTGTATTTAAATATATCGCTTAACATGAGATTGATTGATGTGGGTGTGATATCTGAACCACTTCAAGAGAATATGGGGTGACATTTTAAACTCAGTGGCATATACAATATTAAACCATGAAAGTTAGTCTTTCTCACAACATTTGTATATGTTTTAATGCCAAATGATAATGGCCAAAACATTTGTGACGATCTTCATTTTAAAAAGCTTTACCTTTGCTGCTGTACCTATTGAGAAGATAAATCTATATGCATAGGTGCTGGCCCACTTAAGCTCCATCATGCACGCCCCTTATCCAGCCCTTAACAGTCCCATGCATCACTGAATCACTCCCCCGACTTCTGTTTAATATTTGATGAGATCAGTTCCTCTTGACTGGTTTTTCTGTGTTTCTGTAGTTGCAGTCTGTGCTGTGCGAGAGGTTTATGAAGTTCTGCTTGCGCCGCCAGAAAAGTGAGTCTCAAAAGCTGTTTTTGCTTGATGGTAAATCTAAAAACTAAAAAAAAAACTAAAAAAAAGCCTTGCTGGTGATGTCCGTCCCCTAAAATGAAGTTTCAATACTGTATTGAAACAACAACTTTAGTTTGTCAACTCATGCTATAGACCTTGTAGCGCTATGAAAACGAGGCTGTGATATGAGTAAATAGTGTACTGTAGTTTAACAACATGCCCATTGTTCAGCTGATGAAACATCTTTTTTTTTTTAAAAACTTCAGTAGACAAAAGCTCCATTTTGAAAATTACATGATCTAGCACCTTTATACAGTATACCATTTGTAGAGACTTTGTAAGTCTACCCATTAAAGCCTCGTTTTCATCCGCGTTAAATTCACCCTAAGGAAATACCACCCAATGAGGTCATACGTATGACCTAAAAAAACATAACTATATATTTTATACATTAAAATAACACAAATATTCTCTGGTCAGAGTTTTGTTCTTGTGGGTTTTGTCTTGTAGACTTAAATTTTCCCCTAATTTATTTAATGAATAATAAATGTAATAATTCATTTTATTAGTGTTCATTCTGTCTTGATTTGTCTGAACACACAGTAGTTCACATTTGTTTCTCTCAGCTAAGCCCAATTATTTGAGATCGAGTACTCATTGGGAGTTTGTTGCAATTTGTCCTGTTTGGCAGCCAGTCTAGGCACAAGGAACAGGGCCAAATTTGGATGTTCCCAATTCCCATCCAGTTTCCAGTGTATTTACTATTTCAAGTCTTGGTTTTTACATTATGCTCAAGAGACGTTCCTTTTGTAACAAACAGCCATGTCGGACAACATAGACCTTGTATAGACCTTGTATTTCCTAAATGCATGGAATGTTTATGTAAGACAGCGTCAAAACTCTAGGGTATCAGATCTGAATTTGTCTCTCTGGGAATGTGTTGCCCTTTGTTTTAACAGCATAACCTTTCATGTGCATTTTCAAAATTTAAACAGGAAACATGGGATTCATGAAAATATGAGGGAGGACATAAAATAAATAGCCCTCGACCCAGAAGATATATAGGAAAACTTTTGCGAACATGTGAACAAAAGCAAAAATGTACCATTTTAAATATATTTCGGATTGCTTGTAACTAACAAAAACATTAGTTATCGTTTGTAGGTATTTTCATAGAGTTTGCTATTTTTATAAGAAAAGACAGATAGAGGAAATGGCAGATTAACACAAGAGTTTTTGCCAGCTCTGTTTTGGCAGTTCAAGAGAATACAGATGCAAGAGAAAGCTAAAGGGCATACTAATATCCTTCGGTCACAAGGTCTCGTTGCTTTAAGAAGCAAAAGAGGCCATCAAGAAGTAAACAGGAAAGGACTGTATTGATGCAAGCAGCACTTACCATAATTCTGTGTGTGTTTGTTTTATTCAGTTCTGCGTCAACAATTATTCCAGAGATTCTATGCCATTGGTTTGTTTTTGTAGTGGCAAAAATGTCCCTGACCATGAGGCGATGAACTGTGGTGACTTTGTGTTATAGGTGTTTGTGTGTCATAAGCCTGAGTAGGAAGGTGTCCTGAGACGGAGAACTGTTTGAATCCCAGTTTCAACAAGCTGATATTCAATGAGGAGACACGGTGACCAATATCAGTGTGGGAATGAAGACTAGAGTATTACTGAATGCAGATCAGTCTGTCATGGAGAAATCCCCTTACATTGATGCAATTCTGCTGACTAAATTGGACCAAATATTTGTGGCCTATTATTGTGGATGCATCACTCACTCTGCAAACACACACAACATGAATCAAAAGCTTAGTTGGTTATGCACAACTAAAGTGAAAAGGCCTTTCCAAAAGAAGTTTTTCTTTCTCCCTCAATCAGACTTGGAAGTCTCTTCTGAGCTGAAAGAAGGAGAGCTGGAGTAAATGGTGGATACGCAGTGAGGCACAGAGGACACAGGGAACACAAGCTAAGTGCTGTGGAGCTCTGTGACGCTGATGCGATGGGACGGGGCCAGTGAGGCGTGAGGAGGAGGAGTGTGGATTGAGGTGGCTTTTGGGACAATGGACCTGCTCTTCTCCAATAAAACATGAAGGCCTCATCACAGCATCCTGGCCCCACTGTACAGGCTTTGTGTTGGGGACTTCACCACTAACAAGCAGATGACACGAAACGGGATGTCGATTAACAATTTGCTGGGAATTCGTCGGGATATCTGTCTGTATTATCACCAATAAAGTACTTGAAGGAAAACTATTGCTTTGAATGTCACTTTGCAGTGCAATGTGTTCGATGAAGGCCAGCACCCTTCTGACTGTGGCATGTCTGCACTCAGCCAATCTGCACACTTGTCATTCTTTTAGAGCCTGGCACTGATATCTCTATCAGTCTGTCTACTGTATAATCATCTTTGGCTCTGTGTACCTCTTATTTTTAAACCCCTGAGAACAAGACAGGTTACTATTAGAATGAGTGCTAATGGAAAAGCTGACATCAGGGAGGTCAACCTTTCATTTGATGTTGTTGGTAAATGTTTCTCATAAGAACTCCGGACTATTTATTAGTACATTAAAGCTTTGAACACATCCAGGTTGGAGCTTTTAACCGAATTAAGCAGTTACTATAAGACACAGCCTCAAACAAACTGCAAGTCTGTGTATAAACATCTGTAGGATTTATAAATAGTTTGTAGTTCCCTTATGTACAATGGAATTAGAGAGCCCTGGCAAGAAAGAATTAGTCTATATTTAGACAGATTGTACAAAACAACACTAGGTCAATCAGAAGGGGGGGGGGGGGGGGGGCGACGACATGTTTTCAACTCTCACCGCACCCCGCCGGCTTCACCAAGCTCCTTTACTTTGATTGTGTGACTACACAATGTCAGGAAACGGGACACCAGACCAGTTTAAGGTGCAAACAGTCTAACAAAATTTATGAGCTTTATAGTACAGGCCCATTTCTAATAAACGGTTCACTGTGTCTCACAGTGTTTAAAGGCAAAAGTAAAGCAGCTTTCCTTTTAAACAGATGTTTCCATAAGTGCACTCAAATGTCAGGGTTATTTTTAGAATAGCTCAGTTTTTCAACAAACAAATAGAGGATATATAGGTTACACCCTGACCCTTTCACAACTGCCCCCCACATAAAGAAACTAGAAAGTTAGTTTTAAAAAGTTTTTAATATCTCTTGGGTGAACGAATTAATATGCAATTTCTCTCATTTATTTATTTACTCTCCTCCCTCCTCCTGATGCAGTTGATATGAGATGTCTCCAATAATACAAGGAGAGGTTCCAATTGGTCCGTACTTTCCCATGAAGGCGATGATTCACTAATGGAGGGGTTGGCTTATCCACCAGCTGCAACGCCGCTCTCGAGCCTGCCCATCTCACTTGATGACCTAATTGGCGAGCAGGTCAACTATGGAACAGGGTTTACCCATGAGCTCTGCTTTCTTTGAAATTTAAGGTTTAAAACGAGGTAAATGTGAGGTGGCACCGGCATTTCTTTTTTTCTCTTCCCCCCCACCACGCACTTCACTTCTTTTCACCGAGTCACCTTCGCGTCTTCAGTTCACCTGCCACTTTTGACACGACCTCGGTGTTCCCGCACAAGTTCTGCTGAATCCCGCACGCATCGCCATCAGGATCCAGTCGCACTTTAGGACGAGAGAAAAAAAGCGAAACTTCTACTAGTCGTTCTGGGTGTCTCACGTTTACGCACAAGATGAGTAAGTCTGACTCCGAGCCAAACAACAACGTCTCTATTGAAGAGGAGGTGAGAGTTCGGCGTGATTGAAGTGTTGTGAAGAGTAAATCTGATTTTATGTCCAGGTAAATTTGTTTCAAACTTTTGAGGTGTTTACGGGAGCCCCAGCGTCTCTCCGCGAAGTTTTTGCTGTGAGGCTAAAGTAAGGAAACAATCATTCGAGAGAATTAAATGACTGTGGTTTAAAGTTCTGTTCAAAATGGAGATTTTTTTTTTATTCCGGCCTAATTAATGACCACCTTTTCCATGATAGATTTTTTTTTTTTTTTTTTTTTTTTTTTTTTAAGAGCGCGTGTTAATGTCGTTTCCTTCACCCATGTGAGGATTGCTTTAAAGTTTAATTATTTTTCTCCTTTTTGGCAAAGTTCTTAATGATTAATAGCCTACGTGCTCGTTCAATTCCTTGTCTGCAAGCATCTGCCAATCTAGTGATTTATTTTGTCTGTATACACGGGCACAAATCACTGAATTGTTTGAAATTGGCTTCAGCGTCACTGAATGATTGGTTATAATATTTTGTAGTGGTTATAATGCAGTACGACATAATGATTTCGCGGTTTCTTCATAAATTACTCTTTTGAAATTGGGCACAGTTTGCAAACGCATAGCTAAGTGTAGTATTTCAGTTTGTTACTGTTGATTTTTCTTTTTATGCAAATTTAAATGGACAAATCTGATCTTATGCAGGTCGTTTTGATCCATTCATGAATACCATCTGAGTGGCAGAAAAAGACAATATAATCATAACGCACAGCTTCAAAAATATTCCTTTGGATTGTGGATCCCCTGCATACATTGGTTCTTATAAAATTCGATACAAAAATTTATTGTTTCATTATTGAATTCAATTCACATTTACACAATACATATTGTTTCAAATAAGCTTTACAGAAAATGCATGTCTACATTACAATTTAGAATGATCTGTTTCAGAGGTTATGCCAAGTTCTGTCCAAGTTATGCATTTTAGAAATGTACATAAATCACACAGTTGGCTAATAATGTTGCATATATAATGAAATGTTCACATATATGACATACTATACAATATTACTTTCAATGACATGATCATTAGAATGTAAATGTGTCAGGTGAAGCATATAAAGGTATATGGGTTATTGAGCTGTGGTTGAGGGCAGAGGAATACTGTTGCGCTGTCGGGGTTGTTGCTGTGGGTCAAAGGAAGGAAGTGCTGTCACGCTGTGCGATGTTGTCCATTGTGGTTCCACTGTCTCCATTGTGGCTTTGAACCTCTCACCAAGTCAAAGCCAGTGGATGCACACTTGTTTATTTCTATAGCCATTTATGTGAATGTGGTCATGCAAAACTCATTTGTCTTGTACTGTAAATTGCTGTGGTTTGAATGTCAAACTGCCAGGCTTTTAGTGAATTGTTTCATAGGAGTATTTCCATTATGCCATAACACAATTCCTGTCTGTTTTTTTGTGTTTTTGTTCAAACCATAATTTTTTTTATTAGTCATTTCACATTTAAATTAGGCATTTGATTTATTTCTTGTTTTACAGGTACGAACTCTATTTGTCAGTGGTCTGCCAACAGATATCAAACCTCGTGAGCTCTATCTGCTATTTCGACCATTTAAGGTAAAAACAGATATTTTAAATGTAAATCTCATTGACTGTGTTTAGCCAAAACTCTTTTACCACCCTTAGGTCTTAGCTCTTAATTAAATAATATATTTTATGCTCGCACCCATGTCAAAGTAAGAGAAGGGGGGGGGGGGGGAGGAGAATTTAAGATTCTCACTGAAACAATAAATGAACTAGAATGGAATGATCAAGTTTATAAATTGCTGCTAAACAGAATCCCAATTCTAACGCTTGGAGATCTTCAGCTCCAGTCGCTCAGGTTAGCAGTGCAGTAAAGTGCATCCTCTGTAAATGTCTCTATCTGACAGTGTTGGCCTCTTAAGGGGAGTGCAGAAGGAATTTCTTCCTTTTCAAGCATGTGACTGCATTGCTGCTAATTGGATTTTTCTTTTCCTTTTCAGGGTTATGAGGGTTCACTTATCAAGTTGACATCAAAGCAGGTGAGACATTGTTGGATATTACAGCTGAGCAGGTTTTCTGTATATTAAAAACATGTATGTTTGCACTTGTGCTGCAGTCATGGCTTTTTTTTAACCTAAATTTAGGAGTGCTTGGTGATCAACTAGATTTATAATAAGGATAACATACCCAAATAATTATCTTTTTAAAATGTATCTTTTTACATTAAAAAAATGTAATATTTTGTGTGTTTGATAAGTGACGTTGTTCTTTTGCCCATTGATTGTTCTTTCTCTTTTCCAGCCTGTTGGGTTTGTAACCTTTGATAGCCGTTCCGGGGCTGAAGCGGCCAAAAATGCATTAAACGTAAGAAACCAGCCATCTGTAAGCAATGGCTTGAATTATTGAAAATCTGTTGGATGAAGCCCAGCTGGGTTCATATTTGATATTTTATTTTATTATCAAGAATGTACCTTTTGTACTTGCAGTTTCTAGCACAAACGGCCATAGCTTACCTCCCGTTCTCTCTTAATCTCATAAAACATTAAATTAACTATGGTGTTATTATTGGTGTCCCATATTCATTTTATAAGTGTTTGTTCCAGCACATAACAAAGTGCAAAATGTTTATTTCAAGAAATCCAAGTATTACTGAGCATCATGTTTTCCTCTTGTCTTTAGTGTGTAGTCCACCTGTTTAGGTAACACTAGCTTTGCTGTTCAGTCACTTGTAGAATCGTTCACCTGCATGTGGGCACCAGCTTAAGACACTCCACATTTTTACCAGGGTCTGGCAGGCACAACCCATCCCCATTACTCTATCCCCTCCCCCCCTTGTGTCTCCAGGGGGTTCGATTTGACCCTGAAAACCCGCAGACCCTCCGGTTAGAGTTTGCTAAGGCCAACACGAAGATGGCAAAGAGTAAGCTGATGGGCACTCCGAATCCCACAAATATCCACCCAGCTCTAGGAGCGCACTTCATAGCACGGGACCCATGTAAGTTTACGGCCCACGTGGTAGTTCACACACTGCAGAGACAAACAGGCACACACTCTGTAGCCACGCATCTAGAGTAGATCTTAGGAAAACACAAGAAGAAACTAATCCACCTCCACATGCATGTTATTAGCATAAGGTTCTCCAATTTCTCTTACACAAGTTAAGCATTAGCACTTCACGTCTCATTCAACCTCTCTTCCGTTCCAAGTCACAGATATTACCAGAGATCACACAGGTACCTATATTCAGTTCCTGCCTCTGCTGTTTGCACATTTTATAGTCTGTTGGAATGTGAGGGCCTCTGACTCCAACAATTTGTCAAACATTATCTGTAGTGATTTTAGTCTGACATGCTGAGCTGGCCCTGAGTCTGAAGTGATGGTTTGCTATACCTCCTCAGATGACTTGACAGGGGCAACGTTGATCCCAGCGTCTCCAGAGGCCTGGTCTCCTTACCCACTCTATACCCAGGAGCTCAGCCCGGGCCTGCCCCACACTGCTTTCACCTACCCAGCAGCAGCCGCTGCCGCAGCAGCCGCACTTCATGCTCAGGTGAGGCCATCTTATTTTTTTCTCAGCGACCCTTTTTCTTTTCTTGCTTTACAGAAACCAAAATTGTTCCTGTAAAGAAATATTATGCACTACTAGTGTATGGAAGGCAATTAGTTGTTCAATTATGTTTGTCACTTTGCTGAATGGCAAGTAACCAGTGTTGGGTGTAATGTATGATGAAATAATTACTGTAATTAAATTTTCACTTGGAAAAAGTAAGGGAAGCAGAAAAAATGCTTATGATTTAATTGCATTAAATACTGTATAGACTAGAACAATTATCCACAAAACAATAGTGAATTTTACATCAAAATGTGATGTCTAATGTTAAAATGTATGCTTTTTATTTTTTATACTTATTTGAAATATAACATCCACTGAATGTTAGCACAATTAATTGTGTGAGACTTTGACTTTGCTCAATACTGACATTTTTACCTATTCCAGATTAGAAGAGACTAATCTAAATGGCAAGAAAAGCAAATTGTATAAGGTTTATGGTCCTGGCACAAAAGTAGTGTTACAATGTGTCAACTGTGACTGCTTTGGTCTCATGCTAATGAATTGAGAAGATTCGGTCACATGCTTTCCAAAATATGTTTCTAGTGAGGCCTTTAGATTAGTCCAAGAAAAGATTTATCAGGTGAATATAGTAGTCACAACTGTTGGATGAAACTGTAATTGGTCATGAGCTATATATATATATATATATATATATATATATATATATTTTTTTTTTTTTTTTTTTTTTTGCATACAGTCACAAGACTCTTTGGTGTTAAGATGTTAATTTCTAATTATTGGTACAATCCTTTATTTTTTATTTTATTTTTTTATATAGATGCGCTGGTATCCCTCCACATCAGACTCATCCCAGCCTGGATGGAAATCAAGGCAATTCTGCTAAAAATAAAGTAAGGCCATTACCTCTCCCATGCAAAGTGATTATATAATAATGTTGTGCATGTGTTTTTTTTAATATATAAAAATGATATTGGTAATTGTTGTTGTTTCTTTTCTTTTTAGGTTTTTCTCTGCAAATGGCACCTTCCAGCTCCGGTTTAAAATCAGTCCAGTTCATTTGAACTTGTGGTTTTTGGATGTATTAACTGTGGAATTAGGCCATGAAAAGATGAAATTTAAGCTCCCATTGCTCATTGAGCATATATTGAAGTCATATTGCCAACAGCACAAAAAGAGGCATATTAGATGGTACAATAGACCTTAGTTGTTCTTAATGGATCAGCTCCTTGAACTTTTTTCCCCTTTATTTTGTATTGAATTTAAGATTAATGCTCTTTCATGTTCATTAATTGAGATTTGCTATGGGTCCAAGTAAAATGAGACAATCAACTGACATTGCAGACACAAAGCATGTAAGTTTTGGCATGTAGTGTAGCTCTGTGCGTCATTCTAGTATGTCTGTTGCTTTCATGACCGGTGTAACCTTGTTTGTTTGATAGCTTGGTCATTGAAGTTGCTTATGTTATGTACATAACCTTGGCCAACTCATTTTGATGGGTGATGTCCAGTCCGATAGATGGCTTCCCCTGCTAGTTTCCACTGTAACGCATCACAGAGGGAATGATAGCTTTTCAAAATATGAGACTAATTCAATCTAGTGTATATCTGGGGAGAAAAGTGTTTGCGCAAATTGAAAATAAGTAATCTGTATAAGTTATTGGTTACTCTTGCTTTGTTTTGATGTTTGTTTTTGTATAAATGTCCATTTTTAGCAGTTTCAGAGATTAAGTTGTAATTTTCTTTGGTTTGACTGTCAGTGTGGCACAAACTAACATTATATGGACAGCAAATTTGGCTGCTAACATGAAAATGCTGTTTCAAGTTAATACTCTGAATATAAAGATATGCTACAATGGTGCATGATTTTAATGTGGGTATAGTAATGGTTAATTCAGACATTAGAAGTGTATTTGTAAAAAAAAAAGTTTGTGAAAATACTACTGTATGATGGTATTAAAATGGGAATGCATTAAAATGGCTTGTGTACTTTTATTTTTTTAACTTTCACTTTTGATGCTGAACCGCTCTATGGGTTTGTTCAGTTTCACTGAACAAACTGCAGTTTCACTTGCACGGATACATATTGTACTTGCATTAAACACCAATAACATGCATCCAGAATTAGCGGGGACACTTAACGAGTTCACCTAAAAATGTAATTTATTCACATGTTTTAATCTGCATGACCTTCCATGGAGCACAAAAGTAGATGTTAAAGCATGGCAGAATGTCAAAGACTGAGAGCATCACTCTCTTTTGCATGCAGTAAGAATGAATGGTGTTTGAGACTACCATTTTACCTAACATCATCCTGTTTCATGGAAGAAATAAAGTCAGGCAGGTTTAAAATTATATTAGCTGTTTTCACAGACAGTTCTAGTCCCAGACTTAGTCATGTTTGAGCTGTCTTAAAGTAACTTGCACTGCTATATCCTAAAAGGACAGTGCTATTGTTTCATTTCAAGATTCACAGTCCCACTTTATATTACGTGGCTTTAACTATGTACTAACACTGAAATAATTTGATCACAATGGACTTGTGTACATGTTTTTACATTGTACTTATATTTAAAAAATACCTGCATGTAGTTACAGCTGTAATTACATTATTGACACTTCCTTTACACCTTAACCCACCCTTAAACCTACCCATACCACCACACCTGTCTCTAACCTTACCTGTGTCACACCTCAATAGCAGCAATGTGTTTTACAATACAACATGAACAATAAGTACATTGTACTTATTTTTTAGATGCAAGTACATAGTACTTAAAGCCACTTAATATAAAGTGGGACCAGATTCGCCCCAGTAATTTTTTTTCATAAGGTACATTTATAAAAGCTACTTTAATGTTCCAATTGAACAAGACCTACTCCTAGCTTAATCTAAGCCTTGTCTGTGAAACCAGGGGCTTATGAAACATTTCATTTTAGGTTGAACTATTTATGCAGAAGACAAACAGATAATGTAAGATCAGTGCTGCCCCCTGGAGGAAGTTACTCCGTAGTCTTATTAATTGTTTTTAAAATAGGTTACACGCCCGGCAAGCTGAACACTCAAGCAATGTGCCTGTTAAACACTTTTGTAATTATTGTATTATCAAAGTCTTGATTCCAAAATGTATAATTTGTTATCAATGAAGACCTAATTTATAAATGGTGCTCTCCGTGGTCCTGATTTCTGCCAATAAAAGCAACTCACACGTTACATATTTCATATACTAAAACTTAATGCCACACTTGCACTGTGCAGATTTAGACCAATATAATGGCAAAAAAGCCCTCACATTTATTTTTAGATCTAAATATATTCATCTGTCTCTCAGAAGGCCTACACGTCAGACGCCACGTCCAAGTATATTATTTACTTAATTAGAAAAATTAAAAAATGTAATAAATCACATTTTAGTGCTAAATCTGGATATTTAAAGGATACGAACGTTTTGAAACATTAAATTAGCCTGTGAAAAAATGACGCCGTGCCAATTGGAGTGCCTGCAATCTGTGATTGGTTAATGCCAGAGAGGAACTGGATCCCGGGGTGTTTGACCCGAACACAGGTGTGGTAAATTAGGCCAAAATTTCATTCGAAAGGTTTAAGTAGACTTTATGAGACTTAAACTGGGTGTTGTTTTCGATAATTTTGGTTGTTACCATGGCGTTTTCTATGGTGAGTAGTTCAGCAAGAGAAAGTTTGCCAATTCGTTTTTGAATGTTGCATCAAGTTTTTAACAAGTCTATGGGATTGTGTGAGTGTGTTAAATGTTTTGTTGGTGTTTGTTTGCCCCGCGTTTATCACTTTTATGAAGTTTTGGTTTTGTGAAAGTAATTAGGGCTTCATTACGGTCTTGTTGAGCATGCAAAATGCTAGCTATTTATGATAGCCTCAGTCTGTCATCATGTTTACATTGAGAGGGGTTCATTAATACAGTTGCCATTGATGAGGGCTGTCCAATCGAATCAATCATTGGGTGCTTTGTTTTGTTAATTCCAGAGCATAGATAGCAGTGACACCTATTGCACTACAAATTAATTTACATGTATATTCTGCTCCATCACACTAGTGAAAATTGGAAATTAATTCTAGTCCAACTTCAAAACTTATGACCTTTTCATGTTTTTTTCTAACTGAATGTGAACTGGTGAGGAAAAGAGGCAGGGAAGGAATCAGACCTATAGTTGTGTCCCAATTATATGTACTATTTGCTATGCACTTATCTATGCTTTACGTACTCAACCTTTTAGTGTGTAAGGTTTCAAATATTTTGTCAGTCAACGTTGGATTCTGATAGCCCTTCCTTTTTTGGCTATGCAAGTAAAGCTGTGACATTGAGTGACCAAATTTTAAGTGTCCAACATTCCTCGCTATTTTTTTTCTTCTTCTGTTAAATAAGTGCATCATCCATCCAGGAAGCGCACCAAATTGGGATGCACCTCATGTCTTACCATTAGTAACTCTTGTATTTGTTTCTGTTCTGACAGAGAGAAAATCCCAGACTTCTTAACTGCCTGGATTCTGACATCCCAGCCCTGTCCACATGCAGCAATGCAGACACATTCTGCAGAATGAACACCATGCTAGGCAACTCACTGGATCTGAGCGGGGTGTGCACGACTCCTACTGCCAAATGCAAGCGAGACCCTTTTAATGGTAAATTGTAACATTTGCTGTTTCTGTCTTTTTTTGTGTGTGTGAGAAGTAGAAGAGTGGCACAGACACCATTCCTTAATATATGTGCAGACACAATAACAATACAGATTTGAAACCTTTTCGTCACAGTATTTTTTTTTTTTCTTCGCTCCCCACATTCAAATGCATCTGCTGCAGTGCTGTTTGCACTTTTGGCTTTGGCCCTGCATTCGAGCTTCATGTGCTCAGGGAATCATTACAGCAACGGTCATGTAATGTCATGCAGGCGAGACAGAGGATGCTGAATCAGGGCTGAACTAAGCAGTTGGAGGCTGTCCAGTTCTGCATGAGCAGCCCAGATTGCTCATTCTTCAGCTACTTAGCAACAGTCCTGCGATTCACTGGAGTTTATCTCTTAGCCTGCTGCTAACGGCGAACTCACGCTCTCTCTCCCTGCCTCCTCGAATGGGAGCCAGAGGTGGGAGGGGGAGCTGCCTCTTTGCAGGAGCATTTGACAGGAATGCACGATAGTGTGGCATCAGTGGAGGCCAGGGACTGATGTCATTAGCAAGGGGCTGTGAGGGCAGCAGCGCCTGGGTCACATGCAGGGTGGGTCATCTCTGCAGAGACAGCTGCTCCTGTGCAGTTTAGCCAGACGTAGGGAGGCGATCCGTGATTTACCAGAGTCTAGGGAGCCAATGCTTTCTCGAATGTGCATGCCTTTTATTCCCACTGCTGATGCAGAGTCGTCAAACTCTGTGTGTTTTATTTCTGGACTCTGTTAACAGATCGTCCCGACTCGGACCTGTCTGCGGTCCGGAGCAGGATGCTTTTTCCCAGCAGTGGCCAGGACTCATCCAGGGGTCTGCCTGACGTCAATAACTGGGGTCTGGGCCTACAGTCCCTCAGCCTGTCTGACTGGGAGAGACCGTGGAGCAGCCATGACACTGATCACTCGGTACAGACCAACACAGCCGCACGTGAGTGAAATGATCAACTTTAAAGCAATCTTAGGATAACATTGCCACAACATTACATAAACAGTTGAAGTAACACCATTTTATCATTTATGCAATATTAATTCAAAGTGAGTCTTAATGTTTGCTTGTTTTTCAGTATATAATGGTATTGTTAAACTGAGTTCCTTTCTGGAGTTTAAAAATTGGTTTGTACTTGTTTTAAAGGCACATTCTGTTTACAATGACTTATTCAAGCAGCATTCATTTTGGATGGAGACAAGTTTTGATTTTATTCATTTAAATGAATCCACTCTATCTAGTGTCTGATGTGTTAAACAGAACTACATGCGTGAATTGAAGTGAGACTATGGTCTTTATTGGTATCAGTGGCCTGACTAGAGCGGGTTTGAACCGTTCTCGCTAGGCCCCTAGAGTGAGTCAGAGCCTTTTGTTGACTATTGCCACATATTCTCGGCCTGCCTCATGCATTGGTAATTCTCAATAGTGTGCTGAAATGATAGCTGTTCTTTTTCAGTTTTTGTTTTGTCTTGTGCTCGTTTGTTCTGGGGGTTTTAGGGAAGAAATACAAAGAGAATCTATTCTGTTGTTTTCATGATTACTTTGGGGCCTTAATTTTTTTGCTTTGTCACCAATTCTGATTTTGTTCAGTGCAAGGGATTTTGGGGACTCCCAGCCAGCTCTCAAACAAGCTTCCAAGGTACTCCGAGCCATCTATTGGTGCCACAGACTTCCTAGAGAAATTTCCCGGCATGGCACGCTTAAGCTCTCAATCTTTCCTGGACTCTCACTCCATTAGCCCTGTGGACTCTGAGACCAGTGGCTTCAGCTCTGGTTCTGATCATCTCTCAGACCTGCTGGTAAGGTTTTTTTTTTTTTTTTTTTTTTTTTCTTCTACCACCACAAATTAGTTTTCCGTTCCTCTGTAGCATTAGCATCTGTCTTGCTCAATGGGGATTTGCACACTATGAATTGACTTTCTTGCAGCTCCCGGTTTAAACGATTATGAACAGTCTTTCCCATAATGTGTAATTTTCAAACACTGTAAGGATAGGTTCACAACATTGTAATTGTCTAAAATTAGTCTTGTTTCTATACCGTGATGTTGAGAAATATATGGCATTTAAATTTAGTAACATCACTTAAATGACTGCTAAAATTCGTTGAAAAATTATTCGAATTGAATTTAAAGCATTGTTTTCTTTCTCATAACTTGACTGCACATTTTTAAAGCAGCTTTACAGGAAGTTATCAAGGAAGTATCAAAAGCACCATACCAATAAATTTGACTCGCCTTGTGATCCAAAGTGTAGGGTGAAATGGCTAGTTTTAAAGGTGTAACTCTTTATGGTATTAACACTTTTG